CTGACGGCCGTGCCGGCCGAGACGCTGTCGAGGCCCACACCTGCGCACGCTCGACATGAGCGGGGTAACAAGCTGGAGAGCGTCCGAGCGCTGGCCTGCGGCGTGGTGCCCAGCCTGCGCCGGCTCATACTGAGCTCCATGAGCTCACTGCCGGCCCCTGGAGCGAACGCTTTCAGTGGACTGGACGAGCTGGAGGAGCTGCTGTGCCAGTTCAACGGGCTGACCGAGGTGGATGAGTCGGCATTCAAGGACACCCTCTCGGGCGAGTACTTGGCGCGGCTGGTGCGCGTCGACCTGAAGGAGAACAGCCCTGACGCGCATCAGTCGCGACCCCCCCCTGGGAGCGCATGGATTACGTCGATCTGGAGAGGAACCCATGGACCTGCGACTGTGAGATGGACTGGGTGGCCAAGGGCAACTTTCTCTTCGAGGAGGAGCCACTTTTCCAGTAAGCTGTGCTGCTGAGCGCTGCCGCACGTTGACGCGATTAGTTTTGTGTCTAATTTTACCATGCCTTACTGATTTGTTCTTAATGTTGTTTGGTTAGACCCTGTCACACCCTGAAGGAAGTGCTCCACATTTGTATGGGTTTTTAAACTTAAATGGTCACATTGGAAAGCATTCGGTGAAGTTTACAGCCCGCCATTCTTAACACCTAAACCTACCTAGTTTCTGAGCTACATGCCAGCTGAGATATGCGGACTGTTTCGTTCAGACCTTTCCAAGGTCACCTATGCATCCATGACGCCATAATAACGCCATTCAAATCCTGCAGTTACATTGGCCATGCGAAGATCAAGACCACGCGAAATATAATTGCCGATTCGTTCACATCTAATGTTCGTGAACACGATTTCCAGATATAACGGCCATCGATTGGCTATAAATTGGTGTTGTGCAAGGCATGATGACGTAATCACGCAATGACGTATTGCGGAACATATGAACCACATGGATCAGTTGTGTTGTCTAGAGCGACCTTCTCCACTTATAAGTACACCAATACCCATAAGTCAGCTCACTTTATCCAATCCGATGATTTTTCCAATGCCTTTAACTTTGGAGCATTCCCTTCAAGTGCTTGGTTTGGCTGCACACATAAAACCAGGAGACACTCCAAGCTGAATTTTAACTTAGAGCCGACTCCATGCCTGGCTCCGGTTTCCTTAAAATAAGTAAAACCGACTCTGACGATAAATGTAGAAAATTTCACCAATTTTAGATCTGATCTCTGGGGAATTGATCCCAACGGTTTATCTTATTTGTTATTATTTTTTATCAACTTTCACAATGCTCAGCACATATCTACATTAAGCAGTCAGACCTCACCGAAAAATTAGTATACATCAATGATCATTCGTTTTAGTTTATTTGTCTTTTTGTGTTGATTCAACAATACCTATCACAAATGTTAGAAATCAGGTCAACTGTACCCTGACCATGATGGGATAGTTGACTCAGCTCTGACTCAACATCCACATGTTTTCAGTGAATTCAACTCCGCTCCGACTCCCCAGTTTGGTTCTGACTCCGGTTGACTCCGGCTAAGAGTCAAAGTTGAGCACAAACCCGCTATATTCCAATACTCCATTATGCACACCGCGACAAAGAATTTGTCACATGAATCAGCCACTAATTCTGAGAAATGTCTCGAGCGCGGCGTGATGAACTGAGCCCCCCCCCCCCCACACACACACACTACCCGGCCAGGTCAGATTGCCTGCTTACCATCTACTCGGCGTTGTCATTGATGTAGGTGAAGTTACTGGCAAACGATGCCGACGATGCTAGTGATGCCTTCACTCATGTGATTTAGCCAGCCACAAATGCGCCCGTGGTCGGATTATGGTGTAACTAGTCCTTCGATACGTTGTCAGGTGTAAGCTGCCGGAGGCAGTTGCTGGACGCCCGGTCACCTCCCTGAAGGCGGAGGAGTTTGAGTGCGAGAACAAGGGCGGCTCGATCGCCCTCACTGTCTTCCTGGTGCTGCTGGCCTTGGCCATCGTGGCTGCTCTCGTCTTCGTCGCGTGGAAGTTCAGCGTAAGTGCACCGACTACTGGCGTCAGGGTGGAATGGGGTGGGGGTGGCGGGTAAACGTGAAACGTATTTTGTCGTGCCCGAGCGAGAGATGTCAACAATTCGGTGGACCAATCTGCAAGCGTGCTTTGGGATGAGAGCCCGCTTTCCACAGCTTGGTGCGAACACTGATTCCAGCTCCCAAACAGAGCAATTCCAGCGGAACTGGGGATTTTCTCCTTACTGGGGATTTCTCCTTAAACTGGGGATTTTCACCTTACGATTTTGAAGTGTCATGCGATGTCATCACCCAACCGTCCAGTGCAGGCCTTACCCTCTAATGGCTAGTTGTCAGCGCACCGTGCGTGACGGGTCAGGTGGCCGGGGAAGCTCTTTTGGCAACAACTCAAAAGGGATGATCTTACCAGCCAGAAAGTCAGCGTGTGTGCTGATCGGGCAGCAGGGATGGTTTATGGTTGATAAGGTTCCTAGCCGAAATATCTCCTAACCTTGCGCCCAGGGGTGATAAAAGTGTACTTTTGTCGCCGGCCGAACTTCTAGAGGCAAAATTGTCGCCAGCAGCGTAATGCGATGCCATATTACATAAAATGGTAATGAAGTCCATGCCCAGTGGCGTCATCGGGAATCAGTATATCATTGAAAGCCTCTTTCATCCCCATAGTTTTCAGTATCATGCGCACAACCAAAACGTTCCATTTTACAACGTCCTTCGACTAATATCAGGATAACTGCTGTTGCTACGAAAGCAGGCACACCTGCCCTAGACTATGGGATAGCAAAATCACGGCAGCAGTGTTCATTCACCGCAGGCATTTGCCGGGGGCCTCACGTTTAAATTCGATCTACGGTTGACTTTGCTTTCCTCGATCGCGAAAAAAACGACAACGAAGGACCTCGATAGCCAGGGCAGCAGAACACATGGCAGAGCTTGAACTGGTAGCAGGCTGCACTGAGAATGAGGTCTGACATGCAGGCCTCCTGGAGGCCATGCCCCCTTATGATGCCCATGCCGAGCTCCCCTCCCTTCATAAAATCAGGATTGCTCATATGCAGCGTGGTCATCGTTATGGTCATAGTCATACATTTCGCAATTCCGTTCTTAAATGAACCTGCATAGAAGGTGCAAATCATATTTATTCCTTATTCGCGCCGGAGTCTTACGCTATATTTCGATCATTTACTCATCGCTAGATTTTCCTCGTTTTCCACTAGGTGCGGCTTGTCTACGTCTACCAACAAAATTGCGTGGTACACTTGCGGGTGGGGGACGGGGAGATTCTACGGTTTCTCGTGAAATTCTATGCAGTCGTTTGCAAGTTAGACTTCGGCCACAATCGTAGCCACGACCATGGCCGCGGCTGCTCAGTCCCTTTTCAAGGGTTTCCATGAATATCTCCGCAACGTGCGAATACTTTGCGCTCATAAGATCCTCGAATGTCAAACTAGCTATTTCCTTTTGAACGACGCCCATTTGGTTCACACCAGAAGTTTAGCATACAGGTAAGACTTTGCCCGCAACTGTAACCGCCCCGTGACCGTCTTTTAGGGAGACCCCTCGCAAAATCGCAGTGCGTTGAAAGTCGCCGCCCACCTGATATCAGCCGCATCGCAACAGGTGAAACGCGCCCTTGCGGCCAGATAAATCCCCATATCGAAATCTCTGTCAGTGATTTCGATTCGGCCATTCGCTGTTTTTGCCAGCCTAAGAGTCGGCTGGCAAAAACAGCGAATCGACCGACCGGCCGCGTCATAGGAAATACACTGATTTGTCGCCGACCTGTCACCGGAGAGAACGACCAACTAAAAATCATAGGATAATTTTGTCGTCAAGTCGGGATGAAACCTAAGGAAGCTACCGTGGTGCCATCGAGTACAGTGAAAAGTCTACAAAAAAGTTTTTTTGTGTTGTATAACGAAATGTTTTACCATGGGGGCAGCATTTCGTTAACTAATATGCGGCCTCCATCTGTACATGGGAGCCTCATATTAGTTTTTGCAGAGAATGCTGTATTATTTCGTCGTGGCTGTTACCGATATTTTCTGCCAAAGTGGCAATAAGCTTCCCGTAAATATGTCCATTTTTGTCGCCGACCTTATCCACCAATTCGGAAAATTTTACCACCCCTGCTTGTGCCATAAGCTTTGGACTGTGAGCAACAGGCATAGAGCGAAAAGCTTAAGAAGCGCAGCCAGGGCTTTCACAATGGCGTCAAACCAACATGAAATATGATTGGCTGGACGAGGTGCTTCATCTCAGCACTGACAATTATGCCGAACAGGAGTTGCCCACAAAAACGAGCGCAGTCACATCTACCTCATTTATGAAATCTTGTCTCGCTGGCTGCCAGAAAAATGGCGGCCTCGCTAAGAAGTCTGGGTAACACAGATTTTCAGAGGTTTGGTGACGCAGATGATCAGAGGTTTAAGGACGGTCTGGTATTCCTCAGTTCGGACTCAGTCTGACTGCTGCTGCTGGGCTGAATTACTGAAGGAAACCGCTTAAGCCGACAGGGACTCTGGCTTGAACACGGCATATCACCTGCCAAAACGCAACTGGGCGAATCCAGAGGCTGGATTCTCTGTTCTTTTAGCTCAATATCAGCACTTGTCCATCGGCCGTCCTTGTTAAGATAGGTGACAATAATTGCTTTTTAGCTCAGCTGTGATACGGCAAAAACCTGTAAAATCTGACATCGTCCCCGTGAACGTCCGTCCACCTTCCTGTTACTTCCTGTTACTTCCTCTTACTTCCTGTTACTTCCTGTTGCTTTTTGGTATAATTGTCTAGGCTTTATAAAACGCCGTGACACTAGCTTCCGCGCTTTTTGGGCTGTTATAAATGCGCCTTGTTTTCGTCCGCTTCAACATGCCATTCAGTGTCACTGTCTTCACCATGCCAATATCGCCGTTGCTCATTATCATGTCACTTGAGCCGGTCGGAACACGGTGTTCTAGTCAATGCTATAGTTGCCTATGGCTACGCTAGCCAATGGTTGCGCTCAAGCGTGGCTTATTTATCAGCACCATCCACGTCTCACCAACACTCATACACCTGCTGAGACACTTTGGGGACCAGGAACTCTTGCTCAGGCGGCCAGTGGCGAAACCAAGCAGCCCTTGTCCCGCCGCCCTAAGACGATGACAGTGAGAGGTCACGGGAGAGATCTGTGTGAACAAGCTTGTCGTGCGGCGTCCTCCGCTATGACGCGCGACATCTGCTGCAGCGTACACGTACGGCTGCTCTGTGAGGAGAAGCGAGACTTCATGCGGAAGGGTTAGGTCGGCAGTGGGAAGCGAAAGAGTCGACCGGAATCTGTCAGTGCCGAGTACCGTGCCGGACCAGTTATGCTCGGTCCTTGCTGGTGCAGGGCCACGCGTGGCGGGCAAGTTGGGACACGGCCGCCGCGCACCCTGCCCTGCCCCCTGTCGCATGGGAGGACCTGTGCGTCTCACCTGGCGTTCCCGGATCCGGCCGTCGCTGGTAGTTGTGCTCGGATTCAGCCGAACACCACTGTCCAGTCCAGTTCAGTTCAGTTCAGTTCAGAACAGCTTGAGCCACGAGATGTGTAATTGCGGCAAACACGGCGTCTGCATCCACTCTGTCCATTTGTCTATTGATCCGACCGGCACGGTGCACCTGCCTGTGGTCGATTCCAGCATTTTCGATTCCATTGTGCCTGGTTCTTGTTTTTATTTCTCCCTAATGCGGTCTTCAAAGCCGGTGATCTTACCGGTACCTCCAACTTCCACCCCACCTTGCTGACCCATCGTCACCCATACTGGAGCAGCATGTTCTCTGGAAAGTCTGCAACCACCTGTCTCACAGCTTTACAGCTCTGTTGAATACCAGCTGAACAGTTACCTCACAAGTAGCCGAGGCTCGGGGTCGACACACCGGGCAAGATGACACTGCAAGTGACAATGTCACACATGATGGGTCACAGACGTTTCTGGGTGCCGATAGTGCAGTGGCTTAGCTGTGCGTCTGGAAAACCAGAGGTAGAGGTGCCTTATTTCATGCGATGCCCGCCCTTTCTGCCAGGGTGAGAGGCAGGCGACACCATATAGCCTCAGCAGCTTAGTGTATGGTAAAGATCAAATGACGACGACGACACAGGCATTTTGGCGTGCGCGCACCACACAACTTGTTGCCGCGTGCCTTGTCGCGGCTTTCCACGCGCCTTTACGGTACCCACTTGCGGCGCGCATGGATATGCAGAGATCTCGTTCAAGCAACAATGTCGTCGTCATTTCTCGTTGTGGCTTGTTTTTAATTGTGTGGACGGCGGCGATTAGGTGATTGCAATGATAAAAACTCAAAGTCAAGCAGATTCTAAAAGTCAGTTTAGTTTTACACCGAACGAAGCACAAGCTGACGAAGCAGGCAATCCGAAAGCCGTCGACGACGCCAGAAACCAATCGGAGCTTCCAAAATATCAAATATACAGCCAGGACCTCAAAGTCTGTCATTGGCTTCTGAGCACGTCAGTGATCTTCTAGGGCTCAAGCGGAATGCACGGCGCCAAAAGTAAATGCTGGCGTCAACAGGTGGCTTAGTCGTCGCCGCTGATGTCACGAGTCTCGATGGTGTTTTCTGATGTTGCCTGATCGTATGGTGAGTGTCTCGGAGGGGGCGGGATCAAAGTCTCTGATGTCAGTGGCATGGGCTCCAGAACCGGTCAAAGGGCGCGATATTTCGAAGCTGTCGAGATTGTTCGGCTACCCGCGACGGTATCGGCTCGGAACCAACGGCCTGGCTACACCGGTACCACCAGGTAGTAAAAGGAGCAACTGTCTTAAAATCGTCGTTAATTCTTGTTTTCGTTTTCCACTTGACCTTCTCTGTTCTTCGTGTGGTCTTTGTGCCGGTGGGATCATGCATACCAATCTCGGCTTCTTCCCAAGGTTTTCCACTTCGGCACATCATTCCAGGCCTGCGCTGTGTGCGTCCATCGCCCTCAGCAGCATGCATCGCATTGTGCGTTGTAATAACTGACCTCGTCATTTAGATCATGTAGATCGTGCGCCACCTTGTGAGTATCTATCGGCGTACTTCTGAAGCTTCACTTCTGGTGCGGGTCGTCAGGCTAGCTGGGTCGCCAATGGGTCATACACCTACTCTGCCACGGGGTCACGTAATCTATCCAACCGCTTTAAACGCAGATGAATGAAGCCGCTGCCATTCATAATCGCGTAAAATCCGTGAAAACCTGATCGTTCCTAGGATTTTCTCTTGTTTTTCCGTGTGATTTTCCGCCAAAATCCGGGATCGCGAAGACGCAACCTTGGCTTTTTGGGACCATTTTTCATGCAATGGCAGTAGGTCATCGGGAGACTTCCACTGCTTTTCAATGAACTGAACATTACCTCATGGTGTGAAAGCAAGCTAATACAACGCCTGCGAAACTTACCGCATCCAGGCCCCAATGATCCAGGTATTTTCCTGGGATGTACGCTGAAAAGATTTATGACGGTCGTAAAAACCAGAACCGTTCCCACAGCAAGTGAAGGTAACGAATAGGATAATTCCAAGCATTCGTGGCACAAAACAAAATCCTTGCGAACTGAAAAGTCCAAGCACGTCCTCTGCTGAGAAGGGGGTCGGATAGGCTAGGATCCGGGGCGATGAAAAAACCGGAGAAGGCCAAAGGAGCTGCGGAGACCACTGGGGTCACCACACGATGCTCAAGTCTCTGAAATGTTAGTACACACTTCTGCAACAACCATAGGCCTGGGAACGGCTGCTGGAGCTGGATGCATCGAGATACCGATCAAAGTAGGGTGTGCAGGGACCAGCAGGGACCACGGACGGGATGCCAGGGCTCCCGGGGGAGTCAGAGACAGACCACTGGGTTGGAGCCACCATTCGTATATCCTTGAGGATGGCCCATCATCCTGGGTGAGTCGGGCATTCTGGCTGAAAATTTTAAGCCATGCGAAAGTCAGGTTCCCCCTCTCATTCAACCGGGTCGTTGGTAACCTAGCAAGGATCTCTACTAGACTATATATATATATATATATATATATATATATATATGTATGTATATATATATATGTGTGTGTATATATGCATATATATATATATATATATATATATGTGTGTGTGTGTGTGTGTGTGTGTGTGTATATGCATATCCATATATAGGGCCTCTACTAGGACCTCCACCCTAAAGATCTCTACTAGGCAATTCAAGATTATTCTTTTATTTGTAATTGAGGGCTAGAACTTAAGTTAGAACTAAACGGTGATCAACTTGTAACTAAGGGTAGCGTGGCGCAGACGTAATGCCACTGCATATATTTAGAATTTGGATAAATTTTGCGTGCATAATCATTGTAAGAAATTGTCAAGGAATTGCATATTACATATAACACTGATAGCACATATCGATTGCCAGCCAACAAGTAAGCTTGATCCATAGACAAAAGACGGACAAATTCCAGACCGGCTAGCCTCGAATGAACAATCTTTCAATTATGGATCAATCACCCTATTTAGCCTCTGAGAGCATACAGCATGTTCCGCAGATCGGAAAATTTAGACCAAGCATGAAAAGTTTCACCGACTACGCCGTGAGTTTAGCCTCTGTAGACAAAAGATTCCAATGAATCAGTTCAAGATACGCAACCTTTCTTTTGGTACTGGGTCCTCGAAATTTGGCGTAATAAAGTGGCTTACAGCTCTAAGTAGACTGGGCCTTAATACGTGCACCTTACGGGCTATAGGAACGCACTGCATGGGACGGTTGTGCTTCCAACGTACTTTGTGTGTGTGTGTGTGTGTGCGTGTGTGTGTGTTGTGTGTGTGTGTGTGTGTGTGTGTTGTGTTGTGTGTGTGTGTTGTGTGTGTTGTGCGTGTGGTGTGTGTGTGTGTGGTGTGTGTGTGTGTGTGTGTGGGTTGTGTGTGTGTGTGTGTGTGTGTGTGTGTGTGTGTGTGTGTTTGGGGGCTGCGATATCATGACATTAAAGCACGCTGAAAAATAATGAAAAGATAGGAGAGCTTTCTCATTGGTTTTTGGGAGGCCTTCCTAAAATGCGACGTTAGTGGCAACGGCCTCTGACTACACCGTCTACGCTGCTAACCTCTTCCTAAGCTGGTACAACGAGACATATCCCAGTCACCATGCGCCGCGTGTGATTTCAGATCTGCCAGAAGGTCAGGGAAAAGGTGTCTTCCCGGCCCAACTACACCAACGTGAGGACAAACAAGGAGCGCGTGGAGGTCGGAGGCTTGGAGTGGGACAACAAGGACATCGGAGTGTGACTGACGTCGGAGTGACGGTGTTGATGGCCCGGCCGTGGCTCGCGGCCGCGCTGGGCCTGACTTTAGTGGCATGGGGCGCGAGTCGCTCATGGAGAAGCCGCCGCACGTGTCATGCCCGGCCCGGCTGTGCGCGCGTGCCGACGTGCTAATGGAGTGCCTTTGCTCGTACCGTTGCGTCCAGGCTCGCCTGTATTCACGTGAGGCGTGTGTCGTGTAGTCGGTCGTATACCAGCACTGTGCAGCCGCTCACTGATCTCCGCACGTGGCCGCAAGGCGGCTAAGTTGTGATTCATGACCAATTGCGAGAACTAGGCTCCTTGCACCTCCATCAGGCAGATCGTGTTTTCAAAGGTGTCAAGTGCGGTGGTGATGTGCTGCACCATGCCACTCCCAATCGGAAAAGCTAAATGAAGTGCTGGAATTCATGACTTGCTCACGCATTTTGTTTAAAAAGTCATCGAGGAGTGCACAGATGTCATATATTGCATAACATATGTCGTTCTAGCCTCTGGGAACCTGCTAACGACACAACTGCTTCTGCAGAATGTTGCTGGTTTCGTAAGAGGTGTCGCTTTTGCTGGTGTGATAAGCAATCAGTTGCTAGCGAGCTCATCTGCGAAGAAAATCTACTAGTTTTAGGATACCTGATGCTGGACAATGCAGTGTCATAACCTGAACTCGCAGACGTTGCGCGACCCCGTGAGGGCTGCTGTACGACCATGCAGTTAAGGCACCCCAGAGCAGCCTCCGTGGGTCTTTTCTCTTGTTATGAAGTGCGTGATGTGGTGCACTTTTAAGCGTGCCTTTTCACTGATTGCTTTTTAGGAGGCGTGGCGGTAACATTGCTGTGACTGATGAGTTTTTGACTGCTGAAATGCTTTGCTAATGCTGCAAACTTACGTAAAGTAAATGCAAGAACAAACTGCTACCTACACTGTCTTAAGCAGGATGAATGCGAAGGAACTCCAAATGTGAGAAAGAAGAATAACATGATAGGGACAAGACCAGTCAGAAAATTATTGTTGAGCAAATGAGCAGATGATTGCATCATGCCCTCCGGTTTATTTGCTACATTCCTGTTTGTTATGAGATTTTTTGCTGTAATAACCTTCCTGAGTTGTGTACAAAGGAAGGCGGTTCGGGCTTTGTTGCAGTTGAAAACCTGTCTTGGAATACAACTCGTCATCTCATATCTCGAAACACCAAGCTTTTTGGTCGTCCTAGCTCTTTCGACGCTGTATGTACAGGAGAATAAAAACAACCTTATGCTCATAATAGAGCGAATGAGTCCAGAAAAACCATATATATATATATATATATATATATATATATTTCAGCCGTTGGTTTTCCTTTGCACATGCATATGAAGCAAACCTTCGATTCAATTAACAACCAGTGTGCCGTAGAGCATTTTAAGAAGCATCACTTACTGCTCTGCGGCCGCATGCCATCAAGCAACTCCATTGGAGGAGAACTGCACTACCAGACGGTATGATGCGGGGTATACTTCAAAAACCTACAGGGGAAACTCATAGTGTTCAGTGTAGGTTCCCCAGTTCTCATTTGAATTTAGCTGCTAGATTTATTTACACATCTTTATATACCTACAGGATGGATATTTTGAGCGAGCTTGTGTCGATCATTTCCGTGTCATGTGCGTTGATGAAGTGGTCGCTGAATGGAGCATTTCTGGTTCTCTTTTACATCTCAGGTGCGCTGATTAAAGGGAAATGTTCCCCATGAACAAATATTGAATCAAGCATCATATATGGTAAAATAAGCTCACTTATACCTAATATGGCATGTACCTATTGGATAAAGGTTACCTATTGGCATCCTTTATAGTGGAAAAGACTGCTCTAAACAAGCTTCTCTGTTCAGTAAATATGCTCCTCAGTACATCATTGTTTGATTAGGTAATCGTACCTTGCACAACATTGATTAAGACCCAATTGGCGGTCAGTATATCTGGAAGTCGTGCTGACGAACGTCAGATATGAACCACTCGGCCATGACATTTTCCTTGGCTTGATCGCCGCATGACCAATGGAATGAGAGGTAACTGACGTTATTATGACGTCATAGATGCCTGGGCCACCTTCAAATGGTCTTTTCGAATTAGCATGCACCTCTTCGCGAGCGTGAAGCTCAGAGACCGGGGAGGTTTAGGTCTTAAATAGGGCTGGGCTGTGAACTGTACCGAATGATCCTCAATATGGCAATTTAAGTTCAAAACCCGATAACAATGTGGAACGCTTCCTGTAAAGAGCTCCCAGACATTACGTTTGTCTCGGTAATGTAGACGTTTGAGGGGCTTTGTAAAGTTGGTAGGTGACGAGGTACACGACATTTTTGCGTTACACCTTCCCAACAGCCCCGCAGCGCAGGAATTGCATGGCCATTGTCAGCTGGGCATGGTGAAGGGTCAAGTGCTGAGACGGCAATGTGCGCAGCTTATGCTTTACTACTCCTCCAAGTAACGCGTATTGGCAACGTATATTAACCCTGACTTTTATTGCTATGTGGTTATCAGTGTGGTTACATCACTGGGGGAGTTTGACCATCCAGGCGTCCTGAGAGGTGTGCTGGACAAGCTGCCGAATCATATGCAAGACCTCTGAAAGGGTCAGGCTGTCAGGGTTCAAGTCTCTGGCAGGTGTCCCGTCTTCAAACATTTCGCGAGATTTGTGGAAGACTGGGCCAAAATCAGTCCAAAATGGTGCTTTGGAAGCAATCTGCATATCAGAACACTGCAAAGGGCTTAACGCAAACAAAGCACAAAACGAAGCCGCAAGCCAGACCAGCTGTTTGGCTCCCAGCATGGCTACAGAGGACGTGGAGTACAGGTGCTGGTATCGTGGCGAAAAATAGGCTTGAAGATTTCCGGGTGCCCCAAGAGAAAGACGCCGAGGTGAAGAAGAGATACATGATGGACCATGTCTTGGACATCTGCAAAATTTACAAAGGACGGCATCCCACAATTTTACACAAGGGTCTGACGTCGCCTTCGCATGAGGTCGCCTTCGCAAGAATGACGTGGCAAATGTTTGCTGAGACAACAGCCAAAAATGGTCCAGTAAGCATGGCTGCTGGCGCTTTAAAGATACAGAGAATCATGGCCATGATTCCCGTCAGGATTCGCGTCAACTAGGAAAGGGCGATCGGCACGTGCGCCCTCCTTGATATTGGTAGCTCCACCAACTTCTGTGGATAATCGTCGCTTGATGCTGTTGATGCGACAGACGCCGTGCCTGCTCAGCTTTCGCTTTGTGTGACAGATCCTGAAGCAACGAGGCCAGACATCCTCATTGTCACAGGGATGCAGGTAAACGAAACGAACGGGCTCAATCTTATCGCTCTCTCACTTGTATACACGTTGGAGAGATTTTCTGTCGCGCATGACGACACCCCGAAGTAAGAGGACTTACAAGCGTGGCCGCACATTCGCGGCGTTGAATGTACAGTACAGAGATGTAGACATTAGGCTCCTGATAGGGAACAGCGCCTCGGGAGGCCGCGGAGCCACGGGAGGCTGTCCATGGACAGTCAGGAGCCACCATGCTGCACCAGGAAGGCTCTGCCTTTAGGTAGACGTGGTCCAGAAAGGACATGCTTAAGACTTTCCTGACAAACGTATGGCAAAAGAGATGGGAAAATCTGGTAGATTCCAAACCATAGCGTTTACTCTTGGACTGCGCGGACACGGGATGTCTCTGAACTCAGGTTTGCTCCAAGGCCCCGGTTTCACCAATAATCTTGCTGAGGTCCCGCTTCGCTTGAGACCTGCGCCTGTGCCGTTCATAACGAATATGGAGGCAATGTTTTACCAAGTTGGAATGTCACCGTAGGACAGAAGCTTTCTGAGATTTTGTTCGTGCCAGAAGACGATCAGCCGGCGTCAAAGAAAGGATACAGGACATCAGTACACCTTTTTGTTGCAACTTCCCCAGCAAGTTCCGTTAACTTCGCACTGAGAAAGACTGCTCTCGATTTCGGACGGAAGTTCGATGAGAAGGCTGAATGACCTATCAAGCAAAATGTCCATGTGGATGGCTGAAGTCCGAGGATTCGGGAAAAGACGCCACTAACTTGGCACGTGAACGTCGAGATGTCGAGCAAGGGAATGAATCCCAACTGCACGCGGCCATGTTCCAGATGAACATTCAATAGATGTTCGGCTCTCGTCACACATCCCACGCATCAGCCAAACCGGGCCGGGCTCGCACCAGCCAAACCTCGGTTGGGAAATCAGTCACAAAGCTTGCGGTTTGTGACTCTTCTGTGTTCTTCAAGTGGTTCTTCTCAGCAAGGAGGAAGGAGAATCTGGGTTCTGTGGTTGAATGCTGACGAATTCAATGCGACTAGTACCACCACGGCTGGTCGCCCCACTATCGCCGAACAGACATCGCTGGGTATCTGATCCATGTATTTGTGGCGGTCCTGTTGTGTGCCGTTGACGGCCCGGTTTTCGGCGAATTGGGCGGCACCCCTGCGTAGCTGGTGGCAGGGAGCACGTGACCAGGCCCTCGACCTGGCTCCGATGGGCGGCCGGCCAGCTGCCTGGCTGGCCGGCAGGTGACTGGAAGCCGGCGTGGGCCGTGCCCGCTTCGAAGCCGGTTGTTGGTTCGAAGCTGACTCCATGTGTTTCAGTTTTCTTCGGGACATTTGGTTAGCTTTT